CCCCACTAGCCCCACCGCCCCGGCACTTTTCCCTGCAACCACAGGAAGTGCTACACCTGCCCCTACACCTCCCCCCTCATCCCCATTCCAGGCCCCAAGAAAACCTTCCACATTAAACAGATGTTCACCTGCACATCCGCTAATGTGGTCTATTGTGTCTGCTGTTCCCGATGTGGCCTCCTCTACATTGAGGAGACCAAGCGGAGGCTTGGAGGCCGCTTTGTGGAGCACCTACGCTCAGTTCGCGACAAATGACAACACCTCCCAGTCGCGAACCACTTCAACTCCCACTCTCCCACTCCCATCCTGGGCCTCATCCAGTGCCACAACGATGCCACCCGAAAACTGGAGGAACAGCACCTCATATTCTGCCTTGGAACCAGACAACCCAATGGTCTCAATGTGGACTTTACGAGGTTCAAAATCTCCCCACCCCCGATCTCATCCCAAGACCAGCCCCCATCGTGTCCCCGCCTCCTTGACCTGTCCGTCTTCTCTCCCACCTATCCGCTCCTCCCACCTCACTGACCAACCCCCACCCCCACTTCCTACCTACGCTCACCTCTACTAGCTTCATCCCCACCTCCTTGACCTGTCCGTTTTCTCTCCAACTACCTGCTCCACCTTCTATCACCGCCTCCCCCTCTCTCTAGTTATTTCAGAGCCCCCTTCCCCTTCCCCATTTCTGAAGAAGGGTCCAGATCCAAAACATCAGCTTTCCTGCTTCTCTGGTGCTGCCTGGCCTGCTGTGTTCGTCCAGCTCCACACCTTGTTATCTAAATTTGACCAAACCTTTTTAAATAATATGGGTTGTGTTTGAGATATTGTTGTCTATTTACCTATTAATTGCTGTTATAATCATTGGTTAAGACAAGATTGCATGAAGAATGCAAATTAATCGCACATAAGAATTAGGAACATGCAAAGACCATTCAGATGATCCACCATGCAGATATTGTTTCAGGTGAATTTGACCATTGTTCATATTTTTTCATGCTCCATTCCACAAAAGACAGTATTTCCTTTAGTCATTATTTATTCCAGATTTCCACCTTGATATTGTGTAAAGACGTGCTTGCTTCAACGATCCCTTGAGTGATTTTTCAGGAGTTCTGTGCTCCTGGTAGGGTCACCCATGTGACAAGGTCAAGGTGAGATGCCAGATAAAGTCTGCTCCAAAGGTTGCCAATGCAGAAGAGGCAAGGAAAGACTGTGCATTTCATGTGCTGCAAAGGTGACAGAAGGCTTCAGCAGTGAGGAGGTTTCGGTCATTATGGCTTGACAAGTCACCAAATTCTGACCACTGACCTGTTAAGATTGTGTGGATAATGATGGTAACCCAAGGTCCTCATGTTAAACAAAGTTTTGTGCAGGCTTCTACTGAGATCTAGGGGACAAGATCGTAAACCTGGGAGCACCTATTCAAGAATCACCACATGGGCAACAGATGCATCAGGTCTTTGGAGACATGTACGGGGACAGAGTTGTCTTTGAGCAGTGGCATTGTAACTGTGTACTCATCTTCAGAATGTCCTCTATTCACCCCAAATGGGGAAGGGGCTGGAAAGGAGGCAAGTCCAACTTTCTCCTGGCTGGGAAATGACACCCTGTGGGATCATCGTCTTGGTAGTCAAATAAAAAAAACTTAACATCTTGCAATTTGGAATATGACAAAACTCAAGCAGAATCTCAAGAGTGACGGGATGGGGAAAAAAACAGCATAGATTCATAGTCATACAGCATGTAAACAGACCCTTTGGTCCAACTTTACCACACCGACAGATTTCCCAAACTAAACTTGTCCTATTTACCTGCTTTTGGCCCATATCCCTCTAAACTTTTCCTATTCATGTACCTGTCCAAATGTCTTTTATATGTTATAACTGTACCTGCATCTATCATTTCCTTTGGCAGTTAATTCGATATATGAACTATACTCTGTGTGAAAAAAATTGCCCTTCAGGTCCCTTTTAAATCTGTCTCCTCTCATCTTAAAATTATGCCCTCAAGTTTTGAAATCCCATACCCTAGGAAAAAGGCCTTAGCTATTCATCTTATCTATGCCCCTCATGATTTTATAAACCTCTATAAGGTCACCCCTCAACCTCCTAAGCTCCAGTTAAAAAGTCCTAGCCTATCCAACCTTTCCTTACTTCCGAAGTGATATTACTCAATGAGACTTTTCATTCCTGGGGAGGGATAGCTGAAAGAATGAGCAATGTGATACACCTTCTACAGGAAATGAAAAACTGACAGCAACCCTTGTCTTCTTGGCGTCAGTTTTGCTATCCTGGATATGATCTCGGATGCGCTATCAAAACTCTGTAATGTATAAGTGAAAACATGTCTCCAGAAAGCTGTGGATGCTCGTTCATTAAGTATGTTCAAGCCAGACATTAACAAGTTTTTGAATGCTAAAGGAATCAAGTGTTCTAGGAATAGTGAAGTTGGGTCTAGCTTTGGTTAAAGATCAACGATTACCTTATTGAATTGTGAAGCAATCTTGAGAAGCTGAGTGGCTATGCCCGCTTTTATTTCTTGTGGTCTTGTGTACAGCATATGCAAGACTGAAACTGTTTAGTGGTTTCACCTTGATAAATGGTTTTATAACTCTTTGAAGCAAGCTCTCCTCTCATTACTTTTTTCCACTTTGATATGTTCCATTTTGATATGCACAGTGTATGTGAAGGAAATGAAGAAGAACTGCATATTGAGTAATATGGATCCTCCACACATCATGGTGCAGTCCTTCCTCCTTACAAGTCCCTTGGGGATATAATTTTGGTGGTTTGAAGTAAAGGTTTAGTTGCTTTCAATTTATCTTGAACTGATGTTTACAACATCCAAATGTCATAATTATGTAGGTCCTAGAGCTGTGTGTGAACTGAGAGGGGCGTCATTAATTAACTGGAGTGTTGTGACACTTTCACTTGCAATTATGAAATTATTTCTCCAGTAGCTACTGCGATAGAATGATGTTGTTGCTTCTGAGTGATCTTTCTAGAGGCTGGGTTAGACCAGCAGACAGTGTGTGTGAAGCAATTGTAAAACCACAACACCGCACTCTCAGAGTTGTGCCTTGACAATTCCAGCAATTATCAGACCACACTTGGAGTATTGTGTTCAGTTCTGGATGCCTCATTTAAGAAAGAATGTTAAAAGTTCTGGGAAGAGTGCAAAGGAGATTTACTGGAATAATAATAGGAATGAGGGATTTTAAGTACAAGGAAAGATTAGAAAAATTGGGTGCATTCTCTTTGGAGCAGAGAAGATTAAGAGG